AGGAAATCATAAATTCAAACACACTAGCGCCGTGAAGTGAGAAAATTCCGAACTTCTGTCCACCAACCATTAGGTCTTGATCTACTGAACAACTCCGGAAGACAGTAACCTTCTATATGTCCAGAATCGCGAGATATTCCATATTGACCCTTATTAGGTCAAATCCCATATGCTACGTGTACTCCATTTACGCGATGCCCTCGAGTAAGTGGAATCACTCAAGACCAACGTAAATGGACTTTTTGTAGACCGAGTTTGCGTTCTTTGGGGGGAGATTGTACCCATATTGTAGGGTATTTGCCTCATTTTATGAACCCAATGGGCAGCATATTGGATTCCAAAATGGCATCGGACATCGATTTTCTGCATCTACCGATTGTTCCCGTTCTGAAAATACCCATATTGATGGGTATTTGCCGCTTTTCTGAACCCAATGGCCGTCATATTGGATTTGGAAATAGCGTCGGACATCAATTTTCGGCATCTACACGTCGTCCCCTTTCCAAAAATACCCATATTGTAGGGTATTTGCCACTTTTTCTGAAGCCAATGGCCACCATATTGGATTCCAAAATGGGATCGGACATCAATTTTCGTTATCTACACGTTGTTCTCGTTCCGTAAATACTCATATTGTAGGTTATTTGCCACTTATTCTGACCCCAATGAATGCCATATTGGATTTGAAAATGGCGTCGAACATCAATTTTTGACATCTACACGTCGATCCCGATCTGAAAATACCCATATGGTAGGGTATTTGCCACTTATTCTGAACCCAATCGCTGCCATATTGGATTCAAAATGGCGTCGGATATAAATTTTCGACGCATACACGTTGTGCCTTGCTCTGAAAATACCCATATTGTAGGGTATTTTCCACTATTTCTGAACCAAATGGACAACATGTTGGGTTTCAAAATGGCGCCGGATATGAATTTCGAGCCTCCAGACATCTCCCCGATTTCAAAAATACCAATATTGATGGGTAATTGACAGTATTTCCCGCTTTTCATGAAACCGGAAACCACCATCTTGGATTTAAAAATGATGTCGGATATCAATTTCCTACCGCTAGACATCACCCTGATTCCAAAAAATACCCATATTGATGGGTAATTGACAGTATTTCCCGCTTCTCACGAAACCAGAAACCACCATCTTGGATTTAAAAATGGTGTCGGATATCAATTTCCGGACTCTACATTACCCCTATTGATGGGTACACATTTGATATCAAACATCTCTATTCTAAACATAAACTGTTCGGATTACTCCGGATACTATACGGATAGAAAAATTCATTCACAAAGCGCATCGTAAACGTATACACCTTGGTAAATGCGTAAACGTTTATTACACTTAAATGGAACCTGATATTTTTACGACAGTGTATATGTTAACGATGCGCTTAGTGAATACCCCTATGGAGAATACCCGAGCAGGAACCGATAGCTAATCAATAACAAATGAATATCTTAATGTGGTAAGAAAACAGATTTTGGTTTGCTTGTGGTATAAAACCTTGTTTTGATATTATTCAGTTATCGAAATATTTTGTAAAATATCAAATGAATACCAAAAAAACAAAATGGGATCTTTCAGTTTTTGGACAATAACACCTAAAAGAGTTATTGCATTGGTATTAAAAGACCTTCAAAATAACAAACGGTGGTATTTTGGCATCTAACAACGCGTCTGTTATCCGTTTGTTATTGTAATAGCTAAATTATTTATTAGTTTGTTATTCGTAGAATATTTTTAAGGTATTATTTTTGGTATTTTACCTCTTATGTCAACCTCACTAATTCCATATTTAGGTAGCCAATTATCCTATTTTTCATGAATTTGGTATTAATAAGTTATCCAGATAATTTCAACTTAAATATTATTCGGAGGGAAAGAAATCTGTATAGGGATAGACTCCGTTTATTTCTATCCACTAGATAGCTCATTCCGGATAGTAATATTATCCATGCCTATCCGGATATTATTGAAGCCTGGAGCTGCTGCGTTTTTGTGTCCACAAATCTGGAGAACTTTGAGATTTTAACGTATTAATAACACAAAAACGAAGCCCAAGATCATCAAAACAACAAAAATCCTTACATGTTGTCTGTGTCTCACTCAGTTTTAACGTCTCATCATCTAGTCACTCAGTCGACACTCAGGTTCCGAATGTCAGATATCAACTCTTTCGAAGATTTCTCGCGTCACTTTTCAAATAGACCAATGTATCAAAGCGATACAAACTATTGCTCTTCTATCATTGTATGTGATACAAAAACATCCATCCAAATTTACTTTCATTTATTTAAGATAATCATTGATCAAAAATTGTCCAATGTACAGTTTGAAATGATGGGTATATGATTGTTACTTCGGTCATTGGGACTGCCTAACATGGTTGGTGCTCATTTTCCAAAGATGGGGCCAATCTAAAGTTAGGTACTATACTCTGAAATCTGTGAAAGGGAATCTAGTATCATGTAGACAAAACGTCCAATGTAACACTCATTGATTATGTCATTGAGAAAAATTTCCAATGTAACATGTCCGATGTACAACTCGACTTGTTAAAACGTCCTATGTGGTTTTTTTTCTATGTTGTAGCATGAAATTCAAAGGAAAATTGTGATTTTACCGTTTCTTCTGAATATTATTATACACTGACTACATTAAAAATAGTATTGCAAAATGTAGTTAATTGCAGTTGAAATAATAATCTGTCGAACTTCAACTTCGATTTTCTCAAAATGGTGGATATCTTACATTGGTCTATTTGAAATGTGACGCGAGATTTTTCAGATAGCTCAACAAGTCAGTCGGGGTTTGGTGTGGTGAGTGTCAACGGTGAGATTCGTTTAATTCTAGATAGAGTTGGAATTGGGGCGTAACAGCTTTTGTAAACAATGACTTCTCTCGATGATTTCGCGGAAGCCATGGCTCTCCCTGGCAAATCGACATCACCATGGATATGGATATGTTGGTGTGTGTAGGCGTGCCTTGAATTCCGAGAAATCGACGAGAAAAGTAATTGTTTACAAAGGCTGTTACGCCCTAATTCCAGATCTAAGAATCTAGAATTATGCTTTGGTCTTTTCCTTTGACTATGTACACTCTCGTGACAATCGTGAGATTTTGCAACTCTGGCAGAAATGAACTTTAATTCATCAAGAATATCCAACTGTAGCATTGGATTGCTATGCATTGGCGCACTAGAATTCCATCGTGAGACTTGAGAGTGGCTTCATTCAAACATTTCAAATCATCAGACCTATCTGACGTCATTGTTTGCAATGACATAGATCACAGACATAACTCTTAGAAGAAAATTCTTCAAAAAATATCGTCAAGCGTATTTTGCATGCGCACTAGCACCATCTATCATCCACATTCCCAAGCAATGTTTTGCAACCGGAGCATCCCTCGTGCATGCAATTTTTTTACTAGTTGCTTTGCCCTCGTTCTGTCAACGCGTCAGCTGTGTTGAATAAAAACAAAACAGATGGAAGTCAGTGATGTCGGTTCTATGAAATTTTCCGAAGATCTATAGAATTGATTGAATTCCGCAAAAATACGGATCCGTAGCAAAAATTCTCAGAAGCTTAGACTTTTCTGGGGATTTGTTTTGATTGCCTAGTGTGCTTTTTCTTTTGCTGGAAACAACTTTTTAAACGAGGTAATGCATCACTTATTACAGCCCTTTCTACCACCGCTCATCACTTCAATGTGTACACATAAGAAAAAAAATTATATGTGTCAATCAATACACCCTGGTGAAGTATTGAACATCAATAACTGGTAAAAGTCGATAGAATATTACAGTCATAAACATGATTTGTTCTCGAATTCTGTGTTCATTGTACAACGTAATATTAGGAACGGTATGTGTCTCCAGTGGGATGCCTTGACCACTTATCATTTTCAAGAGCTGACATCTACTAACTAGACGTGAAAAATAACTGGCATCACTGATAAGTGCGAAATGTGGTGGCTTGCTCAATGCTTCAGTGGCGCCACCATGACAAATGCAAGCACATTCCCAACTAAAATATTATTTGCGATGAATGTGATTGTGAGTGTTATGACTGTTATGTCATGACACATGTGTCGATTGGAATGGATAGAAAAGCAAGCAGCAGATAAATGTAAATAAACAAACACGTCATATGTGTTCGGACGCTTAGAAAATCAGCGTATTCAAATCAACTATAAAAGCTTCATGATCAACTTCACTCCTGAATAAAAAAAAAATGAATTTTTAGTCTAATTTCAATTCTAAAAAATAAAGCAAATATGCAATTTAAAATCCAAATTCGTATTTCCAATATTCCAAGCATCTGCTAGTAAACTTTTGAGAGGTATTTGTTTGTGTATCAAACATATGGTTGGAAAACTATTCAGGTTCATCGGTGAAAAATGATCAACTTCCCCCTTTTTTCAGTACGAGGAGTGTATGTTACCATTAGGTGGATTGGCCTTGGTTTTACTTATCCAAATAAAAAGTTATCAGTCTATAAAATTTAAAAGTCCTCGTACTCTACGATTATACGATTTATTGGACACGTCCACACACTAAGTTTTGGTTGCCGACTCACAGAAATTTTGGCACCGCCAAGCGCCAAGCAGCTCGGCAATAATTTTTAATAATATCTCTACAAATGAAACGTTCGGTTGCTGAGTTTCGGAAAATGTTTCACTAAATCTCAATAGCTACCCAAGTAGCACACTTCCTTCACGAAAAGTTGCCGCAACTTGCTTGTGACCGAAATAAGTCGCATAAGAGTTGCTACAACCATTTTGCGAAAAAGAAAGTGCTGCTAGGGTAAGCAAGTAAAAAATTGTTTTTTTTTTTTTAGCTTCCAGTAAAACTTGTAGTAAAACAACCGAGATTCGACAATCAAAACCAAGTGCGCAGTCATTTGATTCAAACTCTGGAATTTCACATTTAACCACGAATCATGGTTACCCGTGGGTGCAGAAAAGAATTCACGTACCTTGTACTCCTGCAGCAGGTTGTTCCATTTTTTGATGATTTTTGAAATCGGTAAAGGCACACTGAGTTCTCGTTCGACGACCCTGCAAAAAAAGGGGAAAGAGTTAGTTAGAAGTAGTCTCCTTTAGATGGTATTTAGTAAAACTGCGCGTGGATTTGATTAGTATGTCAAGATTCTATGAGTAGTTACTTTAGTACTCAACCGAAGAGGGCGAATAACCCGGAACCGCAAAAAACTTTCTCCTTCTTCATTGCCGCCTCTCAAGAAAAAGCTCATCAAAACCAAGTTGAGCCAAAGAATTACAAATTTGTCAACATTGGAGAATCGTAAATTTACACGAATCTGTTGACATTTCCCATCAGCTGACTGTACGTAATTATTGTTAAAAGAATGACAACCTTTTAGCACCTTCCAGCAATAAAATGAAATTTTCTGCGAAAGAGAAAGCTTCAACAAAGTATGAAATGAGAAGCATGCAGGCAGGCAGAGAAGGCGCTCAACACAAGATCAAAATAAACATTCGCTTCTTCCAGCCGGGTGGGGTGCAGGCGGCAGTCAGTAAGTACAGCGTTGTGAAGTGACAGATAGAAGCCGCAAAAATTTGCATTCATACGTTCCTAGCCTCCTCCATTTAGCATGCCATGCCATTGCTGCTGCAGTCAAACAGAAGAAGGCCAACCGATGACGATGACTACGACGACAACGAAGTTCGAAAAGCGGAGACCTCTGCCTCTCAGCACACTTTTGCCTCCGCAGAGATGTTTGTGTGGATGTGCGAAATTTGTTTTTGTTAGCTCTCTTGCCCGGCCACAAATGAGTGCGAATTTCACTTTCAACGCTCGGCATGTACGCAAAAGATTTAGTTGTTGTTTGCAGAAAGTGAATCGCATCGTGCTGACCAACTTTGCGCATTGACAGCCGCTCGAAAATCGCAGGTGGGGCTTCGATTTGGTTGTTTTTGTTGTTTTTTGGATACATCCTGTCGTCGGTAATGTATGGAAGTACCGCTGTTTGTTGTGCAGGTTCGTCGCTTGAGTTTTTCGTTTGGGTTGGTTGGAAGACGTTACTTAACATCACATGTTTGAGATTTTCATTTGAGTTCTGTGAGATAACAATCTGTGCCATTGCTGAGCTCAATCTAGGGTTCAAGACCCACTGTAGTGAGTATCCTGGAGATAGGTCACAGGCGTTCAAACAACTTGGTTTTACATATTCTAAATATTATGGAAAAGTGGTAAAATTTAAAGGGAAAGCGAAATTTATAGAGTTAAAAAATCAGCTCTCACAAAACATACAACAGTGAAACTGTAACTCCACCTTTGCTCCAGTTCAGCAAACAGGGTGTTCAAATTTCATGAACAATGTCACAGTGGTATGGCATAACTGTCATTTTGACGACCATTTTTAGACTCTTCAAGGAATCACCTTAGAACTTTTTTTTTTATTATTATAGTCACTTGGGTCATTCGTGACTTGTCCGGGGGTGAGATTTGAACGCGTGGCTTTGGCGTGAGAGGTATGGATGTTAACCATTACGCCGGGGTCGCCCCCTACCTTAGAACCATTTTGGAAGAGAAAACAAATTTAAATGGAGCATTAGAAGTGGGTTGAGCAATTTCGAGTTAAATTAAAGCTTGACAATTTCATTGCGTATTCCATAATATTTATGGGCTGAATTTTTCGTAGGACCTTTTCTACACAGGGGAATTTAAGTAATCTCGTCAATCTATGCAGCATCCGCACTTTTATTAGGAATTTCTCAGCGTTACGTACACAGATGACGGGTTTGTTTGTTCAAATTTATTTCCTGCTTTATATTCTATCGATTCCAATCGAAATAATCGTTCAAATGGGTTGAAACCCTTTTTTCCATGCTCAAAACTTGTCGGCAGCCTCTTTTTCTTCGGCATGTTTCCCATTTGAACTGTGCGTTAATCAGCTGTTTTATTGTTCGCAACTCGAAATCAGCCGTATTATGAAGTGCGTACGTTTCATTTGAAGAAAAGCCAGGCATAACATGCTCAGTTGTAAAAATGTAATCAGATTGAAACTGAACGACTAAGGAATCGTTTAAATACATTCAGCGAAGGAAAATCACAATGGAAGTTTGCAGAACTTCTTTGGATTCTTTGCAGTTTTAAAGCTCCTTTGGAGATGTTATGCCTTGTTGTTGTTAGGGCCATTTTGACATTGACGAAGGCAGTTTTGATATTTTGAAGATTATTTTCGAAGTGGACAACCCACTATGAACAAAGTTGTCTTATTCTTCTTCTTCCTCCTCGTATTTCAAGCACATTGCTCATCGCATAAGATCTTTAAGATATTTATTCACAATAATTCGGACACCTTCAAACAGCGCTGCCATTTATACAGATTTATCTGTATTATACAGATTTTTTAATCTTAATACAGACCCGATACAGAATACAAATTTATCACAGATTTTTAAATTACAATACAGATTTATACAGATTTTTATAAAATGCTTGAGAAAAAAAAATTCAAAATTTATAAAAACAAAATAACTTGCTCGATTTTATCAGCGTACCCTCTTCTCTCCAAAATTAATTGTTGTGCTAAAAACCATATTTGGTTGAGTGGTAGTTTTATCAAATATCCGAGAGTTTTTGCCCCTCCAGTGGTTGGAAAACTGTTTTTGCAGTATGGAGAATATCACAAAATTCGCGACTCTCTACTAAATATAACTTCACAGAAGGAAAAAGGCGAACATGAAAGAAAACGAAATCCAATTTGGCTCAAAAGACTAGAAGAAGCTTACTCGTCGCTATGCTCCTCTAACATAAAAAAAAAATTAAAAAGTTTATGGAACATTTAATCGATTCCACTGTGCGTTTATATAGCTGCCTTTTAATAACTCATGATGACATCAAAATTTGATGTATTTTTATTTTGTTTTTTCGGCATGCATGCAATAACATGTTGATAACTAAATTTGTAATCTAAATAAAATATCCATATCAAAATAAGTTATCAAGCAGTTCTCACTAATATCGATATATGTTATAATTTTGGTATTCTTCGCATATCTTTTAGCTCTCATTTTTGTTCTGTTAGCCATCAACTCCATCAAAATGAAATCAATTTGAGTTATCAGGAATAATGAAAACAACATAATTTTTGTTTTCATTTTGTTCTCACCCTCTGCTCGGGAACCTATCAAATTTCCATCGACAATTAATCATGTTATGGTGTTTTTGACAGCATTCACAACCAGAGGACCAACCGCTTTCGGATGCATATGGAGCTGGTAGTAAACGATTTGAGATTGTATGGGGATTTACAGTATTAATTGAATATTTCCAATATAAGCATGTATGTTAAATACAAGAAAAGTGCCCGAGCACATTAAAATGGTACAAATACAAGTACTCGTAAACATTTTACTTGCATTGAAAATGTATTTCGTAAGAAATTGCGGATTTTCTGATATTCTCCATACTGCAAAAAATGATTTTACCAGCACTGGCGGGGCGACATCTCTCGACTTTTCGGTGTAACTACCACACAAATGATGTAATTAATTGTATTCATCTATATTAAAAATATCAAATAGTAATAAACTCGTGCACTTTTTTGCATTTAAAACTGCTTATCAGGAAGATAATGAATAGAAACTAAAATCTCCATACATTTTCAAACGGCTTCATATCACTCTTATAAATAAGTACGGACGATATCACAAATGGCGCAATTATATCCAGTATGGTTAGTACGATAGCCCGAATAGGTGGTTAAGCGCTTTTTATGGTTATTTTGTATGCACTGTATTTGTAAAACAACAAAACATGATTAATTAAGAAAAAAATCGTCAATACAGAAAATACAGATTTTTTAATAGAGTGGATACAGATTTTTTATAAAACCACCTGGCAGCTCTGCCTTCAAATCACTGTAACTTTTGAAATATTGCACGTAGGAGTCAAAAATTTCACTGAGGTATAGCTATGAGTCACTGACGAAAAAGACTATGATTGGTGTTTACATTCAATGTTCAGTCCAGCGTTGCCAGATATACCGATTTATCAGTACTTATACCGATTTCCAAACTAGATACCGATATACAGATAAGGTTCCTCAGAATACCGATTTTAAGATTTTATACCGATTTATACCGTTTTTTTTATATAATCAAAATTATTATTGCCTGCCCACGCTCGAATTTCGGAGAAAATTTTTGTGAGAGACTTGTATCTTTCTGAATGCCTCATATTTTGAGCCTTCGAAATTCTAAACAATCATCTAAAGATGCCTTATGCTTGATACTCTTTCGACTAATTATATTTCCTCACCGTTTTTGGCTACCCATCAATCGAGAAATAGTCGATGGCTCTTTCCGGTACTTCCTAGGAAATCGAGAAATATATTTTAAACATTATTTTACTTCCGTAAGTTTTTATTCATTTTTAATCTTCCTGAAGTTTCATCCAACTTTCCCTGCAATTTTCTTCCACCTTACCTTGAAAGCTTCTTCAGCCTTCGCTCGAATGATTCTTTCATCTTTTTCCGCTAGTGTTTTAACTTTGCCGGAGCTACAAGGATGCTATCAGATTTTTATTGCGGATCCACACTACCTGCATGCACATTTAAGTAGTTCTGAAACTTCAGAAAAGTTCCAGACTTTTGTGTTAGTTTCGATAAATTAAAGACAGTTTCATTAACTTCTGTTAAAATTCGAAAACCCAAAAATTTTAGAAAAGTACAACGAACTCCAGTCTTCATCAATTTTTTGGAAACTTCACAAATATTTTGGAAACCTCACAAGTCCAAAGAGTTTCAGGGAAATTTAATGATTTTCAGGAACTTAAGTGAAGCTCGGAGAACATCAGGAAGGATCAATTAATTTCTATGAAATTGCTGAGATTATAAAGGAGTTCCGTGAAACTCAGGCCATTTCCGAAAACTTCAGCAACGTCCATGCAAATTTTAGGAAACGTAAGAGAAGTTACATGAACATTAGATTATTGTGAGAAAATTTTATGAGAAGTTCTATGCTTTTTAATGGGAGTATCGATAACTTTTAAAAATTAAAAAATCGGGAAGATCAGAGAACTTCAATGCTGA